TATTAAGAAGAAGAAAAAGATTTAAAAAAAAGAAAAAAAATTCAAAAATAATATCAATTTAGAAGCAGATAACATGCTTATATATTATCAAGAAAAAAGGATAATCTATTTTTTTTATTAAGAAAAAAGAATTTTAAATATTATAATTATATTTTGATCAATTTTTCAAGGACAAGAATTCAAGAAAAAACTAAAATAGCTATTGCTAAAGACAAGAAGACTAGAGATTTTTAAAACTAGACTAAAGCAAAATAAATAAATAAATAAAAATAAAAAATTAACAAGAATAATAAAGGCTTCACTTTTGACTTCATATATATTATCTAGCTAATGATCTACATATCAACTCCCTATAGATTATATGACATGTGTCTAACTTGCAAGACACATGTCTAACTTGTAGAACAAGTTTCCAATATATGTGTCATATGGACAATTTGTAATACAAGTGGCTAATATGTGCAATATGTGGCCAACTTATTGACAAAGTTTTTAACCTATCAATTACCTACAAATAGGTGTGAAGACCTCTCTACATCTACAAAGCTTTTAAGGAGCTACCCAATAAGATATTAATAATTTAATCTACTTCTTTTAAATTCTACTTATTCCTGTTTATATAAGTAATCATATTTATAAATATAGATGTTTGTGATACCTTACTTTGCCTATTCCATGCTTCTCTTCTTTTGGTGTCTATTTATGTTGACAAGTATATAGTAATAAAATTATCTTTAATGTACTTACTTCTAATTTTCTTTTGTAAATATATATATATATATGTAATTTATTCTTAAGATAGATATAGTATTAGATATATTATCAATCATTTTTTTTCTTTAAAATCCTTTTTTAAATAAAATAAAGATATGTCTATAAGAATACTTATTTATTATTTGTTATGTTTTTTAAAACATCATAGCTATTATTACTTATAAATATCTTAATTATTTTCTTATCTTATCTTTTACTTTTGTATAATATAGAGATTCAAATCCAAAATATAAATAAATAAATAAATAAATAAACAATATAAATAAAATAAAATAAAACAAATCATAAAATTATTCTTAATTTAAGATGCATAATTACATCAAATATATAAAGCCATAAATTATACATCTAATAGTATTTTTTTATGATAAATATTTTAGTAAAAAATAATCATATCTTTTTATAATATTTTTATAAATAAAGCATTAGAATTATTTTAAGAAGATAAATTTTTTGTAGATTTTTTATAATAATGCCATAAAATATAACCTAGTAATTTTTTAAGATGTAAAAAACTAAGTGAAATTATTTAATTTGAGCCTAAAAAGACAAGAAGAAGAAGTAGAATAAAAGTTTTAAAGAAAGAACAAGCAAATAGCTACTAGTCTAGCAATCATAATTTAGATTTAATTTAGAATTTAGAATTAATTCTTATCAAGATTTAGGATTTATACTTATCATGGTTTAGGATTTATACTTATCATGGTTTAGAAGTTACACTTATTATAGTTTAGGTTTAGAATTAAAGAAAGGTTTTGAAATGAAAATCATATTAAATCTAGTCAAATGAGACATTAAAATAAGTACAAAAATAAATTACCATGATGTTTGCATAACCTGAATCTGCCAAGGCTAGCCCACAATCTATAAAGATACTCATTGAAGCTAGCTTATAAAGCTTATATGACATAAGGTTTTAACAAAGACAAAGAAAAAATGAGACTAAGAAGAAAATCACTTTTGGGCCCACAAAGGTCATGTAGATTTAATTCTTAATGACTGTGTGTTAATGCTAGAAAAAAAATATATAAAAGAACACAAATACTTTTTCTATGCAAGAATATTAATAATACTTTTTATGATCAATATTTAATATTCAATATTATAGCAAAACATCTATAGCAATAAATATAATTAAAGGTTCAACTTAAAAAATTATACATATAAGAACATATTAGCAATAGAAAAATAAGAAAATATAATACATATTTTTTAAATAATATATTTTTAATAAAAATGTTGACAAAAAAAATTAGAAGAAGTAGACTCATTATAATTTTATTCTTTATATAATTTTTTTGTATGATTAAAAACATTTATAGAAAAAAACTAAATAATTAAATTTGTAGTTACTTGCTTGTGGGATCAAATCAATATGTCAACACTCTTGTATCATATTTAGATGTATAGAATATTTAACATTTGAAATAAATGCAGTTGATTTGTTAAGGTTCTATTTCTAATAACAAAATTAAAGATAGTGAGAATGATTACATTTAAAGGTTGGTGACAAAGTATATTTGCAAAGTCTATCTTGCCATCATTATTAAAATTAGATATCATATTTGATTAATTTTAAAATTTAAATACATATTTATTAAATGACATTATTAAATCAATATCAATTCTTATATGCACCAAATTTACATATGAGATGAATTATTATATTAGAACTAGATCTTTTTTGTAAAAGAATTATATATATATATATATATATATATAGAAACACCAATATAATATCCTTCTTTAAAAAATATTAAAGTAAGTTTTGTTGATTTGCTTGCTCTAATTATTAAATTTTTAAAAATCAAAGTAACAATCAGTTCATTTACAAATGTAACAAAACATGACTAGTTGTCTTTTTAGGTTTGACAAATCTACCCTGAGATTGGTATTTTGGATGACTGTGACATTATAAATTATCATTTTTAAAAGATTTTTCTTATCTTGATGTGTGCATGTTGTCTTAGGGCAACATGCAAGGAATAAGCTTAATAGAACTTCTTTTTTAATGAATATAGTATTTTTTAAAAAATTAAATCAGTTGTAGTGGATAGAGGAGGTTGTTAATACAAAGCTATGCATCTTAAAAAGTAAGCAATTAGAATCTAGATGGTTGTGTAGAAAATTGAACTTTTTAAAATTAAAAAAAACAAAACAAAAAAAATTGCAATTTTTTTTCTTTTCTTTTCTTAACCCTCGTTCCTTGGTCTTTTTTACTCATCTTCTCTTAGACCCTCTTGAGATTTTCTTCTCCTTGGGCTCTTGGAATTCTCCTCTTCCCTTTGATTCTCAAGATCCAAAATTAGACTGACCAAAATCATTGATTGGATGGAAATAAATAAATAAATAAATAAATAATCACTTATCATCCTCTTGTATTCCAAATTGAGGATGAATTTGCTCTAGCCTTGCCTTGCCCCTCTCCTATTTGACCTTTTGGGTACTTAAACGTGCACTGCAGTTGGTCACTGCCATACTCAATTTTAGTGCTCGCTCCACAATAGATTACCACTTCATGGTGCATACATTGTGGGCTATTTTAGCAATGAACTTCCACTTCCAGGACTGAACTTAAACGATACAAACTTGATCACTAAACATTCTTTCAATACAAGCGTTTCATGTAATTTCTACATGCATGCTTGTGTAAAACACAGCACAGCTGCCTCAAGTTGAACACTGAATCAACTAAAACACTCAAGTATTGCACATTGTATGTGTGTGAGATAGAGGTTTTATGTTCATGAACACACGAAACGGAATACTGTGGAAGAAGCAAGTACTGCACCAAATGAAGCATTAAACTACGGTAAGAAACATTGTAGAGTTTCAGTATTCCGAAGTCCAACAATGGACAGGACTCCATGCATTATAATGGGTTATAATGTGGATACTAAACAGAAAACATTGCAATCTGGAACTCATGCAGGCCATTTCCAGCAAAAAAATAATAAAGAACCGGAACACACTTACCTGTCTTGCCGAAAGGGAAGGTCTAAATCAGCCACTTCAGGTACCAAAAACTTCACAACGCACTGGGCAACACATGCATCGTCCTTTATTTTGGACCCTACCCAATAGTGGGCATCAGGGCGGTACCCTTGAATTTACGACAAAATCTGGAATTCTTACTTCTTTGGGCCCTCTACAGTGTTTCTGCTTGGTGATTGTACGTACGCAGCTGACACCCAAACGCATGAGCCACATTGAACGAGAAATGGTGACGAGGTTAAAACTCTGCAGGTTTAGGACTGGATACTTTTTCACCTTAACCCAATTTTCTGCGCTAAGACCTCTCGAGGCGCTTCCTAAACGAGGGGTCTCACTAACTCGGCCGCAAGGGATCACAACGCAACTCGAAAGGCAAGAGAATGGCGATTTATTCTTCGTCAATTTTACTATTAACACGTCAGATAAAAAGACCCCGCGTTTATGTCAATAGTTGTACAACTTTCACATTAAATGTGAAAATGAGCAGGCGTTTTCAATATCAACAATTCATCGTTTACGAAAAGATAGGGGTGATGAAACTGATGGTTGAAATTCATAATGTATATGTATCTGGTTGTGGGGTCATGTTTACACAATTTATGTGACACAATCGTTTTCATATAAGAAAATGTTGAAAAAACCCCAAAGCTTCTGATATTGGTATTGCAATCTGTAGCAAACACTTCAAGAATAAAAAGCATACACTGAAATTTAATTTCAACCAGAGAGTTTACAAAACGAGATAGGTGAAACCATCATTTCCCAGCCTTAAAACACCCACGAAGACTGCTCGTAGAGGGTTCGCTGTAAATAATTCACGGTTGAAAGAAAAATTCGAGTTTCAGTATTTGAGAAATCTCATACGAGTGAGAAGCATCATCGGACCTCCAGACGAGGGCAACGACAGAGAACTGCAGGCGTGGGGGACCCGGAGATAGACGACCCTCGGGGAACGACGGGGATGATTTTTCCGAGATGCAAGGTGGGAGGGGGGCGAACAAACGCATTGGTGGCAGATCACGTTACACTGGCTTTGATCATTCACGATACAAGTCAGTGGACCTCTCGTTGCTTGATGGACGAGGAAATCGACGGCACGGGCAACGCCTGCTAGATCCGACCACGTGAGTCGAGGTGCAGCGGAGGCACACAGAGATTGGAGAAAAAAAGATACAAGCCTGCAAGGCTCCGGCACCGCAGGCTCCCAACGGTGAGGGTAGAAAGCTCATCCAAAGGCTGAAGTCCGAAAAACGTAGTATTGGTAAAAAGGTCATATGTACACATGATAGCTGTGGCTGAGGTTGCGGCTGCTACAGTGACCAACTAAGTAAACCCTGGATTGCACACAAAACCGCCGCTTGAAGTGCGTGGCCCTGTTGATACTCTCGCCAAGCTGGACTGGAAGCAGTTGCTGAGCCTCTCTGACTGTTTCACCCGTTACTGTACTCAAGGAAAAAAAGGAGAATACACCGTTTTTGGCAGGGCATGGTCACAATCCATTGACCCTTGGAACATCAACCAAATCTCGCCGTGAAATGTTTTGAACGCTGCTATCTAGAGTGCAACTAGGTTGTGCCGCTTGCTACACAGGGATAGGTTATTGTGACGTTCAAAGGTTAGGAGATAAAGAAGCAGCAAACCAAAGAAGAGGAAGAAGAAGAAGAAGAAGAAGAAGAAGCAGAAAAAGAGAAAAGAAAAAGAAGGTCCTCAACTAGGTATGTGAGGAATCACGTCTCGGCGGCCGCTTCAGGGTGGTAGAACAACATTTCGTTCCAAACCCTCTCTCGCAGTGCATCCTCCTTAAGGTCTTCATCCTCGAAGTCGAATTCGAAAGGGGCCGGAGCAGAGGGCTCCACAGTGGCGTCATGTAACATCGACAAGTAAGGGTGCTCCAGGGCTTCGTGCACAGTGATCCGCTTCCTTGGATCAAACACAAGCATCTTATCTATCAACTGGATGGCCAAGGGATTTGCGCGAGGATAGAGACGAGCAAGAGAGACGCGAGGCGTGAACGGAAGGGATCGGATGTAGCTCCTCGCCTTCTGGCTTTGGATGAAATGCAGATCGGTCTCGTCCGGAGATCCGATGATGCTTATTATCAGCTTGAGCTGATGGATATAATCCTTGCCTGGAAATAAAGGTTTCCGCCCTAAAAGCTCCGCAAATATGCAGCCAACTGACCACATGTCTATAGCGCTCGTATACTCATCGCACGACAGGAGAAGCTCCGGGGCTCTGTACCACCTTGTCACGACGTACTCGGTCATGAATTGGCCTTTGTCACTCCCTGTCCGCGCCAATCCGAAGTCGCAAATCTTCAAGTCGCAGCTTGCATTGAGTAGCAGATTACTTGGCTTCAGATCGCGGTGTAGAACATTGGCAGAATGAACGTATTTAAGACCGCGCAACAACTGCATACAAGATAGCGGCGAGGAATACATGATGGCGTGGTCAGAAACAAAGGAGACGGCAATCATCATACAACATAATCGAAATCAAATAAAATAAAAAACAATAAAGCAAAAATGCGGTCCTATCATGGTCGAGTCACTCTCACCTGATAAATAAAGTACTGGCAATGGTCATCTGTAAGGGTCTGTGAAGACCGTATAATTTGATGAAGGTCGGTGTCCATGAGCTCATACACAATATACACATCGTTGAAAGTTTGACGACCAACTGGCTTCATGATATCCTTCACGGCAATTATGTTCTCGTGAAACAAATGACGCAGCAGACGAATTTCGCGCAATGTCCGCCGGGCGTCTGTGGTATTCTCAAATGCATTTGTAATCTTCTTGATAGCCACTCGATCCCCTGTTTCGTTATTCTTTGCGGAGCAAACCACTCCGTAAGCCCCTTTTCCAATCGGCTTGATAGGGGCATACTTCGTATCAATCTCGAATACGCTTCGCCACAGCATGTAGTGATGTTTACCAGGCGGGCATGTGCCCTCAGGAACCTCAACTTTAGTAGCCATCCTCGATCAAAACAGCTTCAATCAACTATGTCCGTCCTTGAAACCCCTACAAGATTTTGACAAGCCCAACCCCCTTCCCTATCTGGCTCGATTCTTACGTCCACCATAGCCTTCTTGATTCACACCACCTCGCCGATTAGCTCTTCCTCTGTTCGCACCCTCAGGTATGCTATCATGCTCCATCCACTCAACTCACCTGATTGCGGCTTCCGACATTCTTATCATTTCTACCTCTAAATGGCGGCATCTAAGAAGTCACCCTCTTCTACTGAATGTGCCAGTTGGATATGAAGAAAATGTTCACTTCACTAGCAGCAAACACGTTCAGCTACCGATAAACTTGAAGTGGCTTGCAAAATAAAGATCCCGCCAATGCTATCCCTTCTCAGCTCGCTCCGGCAGTACAACAACCCTCCACCACAAAATCAAGAATTCCAAATGTGTTGAAGTCACCACGATCCAATGATTCAAACCATGAGCAAAAGTACTTGTCCCAGCCAAGGAATCCTAAAATTCCTTCCCCGTGTTCAAAAGACGCTCAACCGTCTAATGTGCAAAATACACACACAAACACACGGACAAACGCACACACACTCACTCACTCTCACTCTGGGGCTATCTATGAATAGGCTGGATAACGAAACGAAAACCAAACGACGCAGGATGACGGTTGGCAAACAGATTCTTACACAAGATGCAGGGCCATATCCACAAATCTGAGCCTACAGAGACCAAAAAGTGAAAACCTAAACGCGAACAGAGGCACCATGCACATGCGCAACCGGCAGAGTTTCTCCGCTCCAAGCGCGTTGTCACAGCCGAAGCCTAACTCACAATCCACTTGGACTCACAAACCTGGAAGACGATGTCGAAGGAGGAGAGAGAGAGAAAAAAAAAAAAAAAAAAAAAAAAAAAAAAACACACACACACACGAAAGAGAAACGCTACACACTCAACACCATGAGAATCACCCCGCAGCAAAAGGGAGGACTTGGGAGAGCGAGCATCTGGGAAGCGAAGGGTCCTACTCACCCATCCACGCACCCAGCGCTGCCTCCATTCGCTTTAACCCTGCCACAGCCATTCCTGTCCGTCCTCGGTCAGCACCCTCGTGCCTCACCACTCCGAATCCCACACAGGCTAGCCAGGCACCTGAATAAACACCTCCCAATTCCTCCACTGCTCAGAGCGCCCCGAAGCAGGCCCGGGATGACAGCTTGGCTAACGAAGTCGGAGGGGGTGGCGATGGTGCCGGTCTCGTCGCATCAGAGGAAAGACATAACAGCGTGCGATGCGAGGGAGGGAGAGCAAGAGAGCGAGCGAGCGAGCGAGCAATCAGTGATGCTGGAGTATCCGTGTGCGTTTCATCCCCTTGAACGTCTTTCGCCACAATTATCTCATAAAATCTGAAGCCCTGGCCATCTCCGTCATGGTAGATTTTCCCTTTCTGCTCATATTTTGCTATTTTCTGCCAAGGGGGGTTGTTTTTCCTTCGTCGTCGTCGTCGTCTTCGTCGTCGTCTTTCCCTTTGCCTCATGGACGGCGATATCTCCCGGCTCATCATCCCCTGCCTGCGTGCCTGCCATGGTGGGCTCCAATAGCCACCTGCTGGAACCGTTTTTTCCCACTCCCCCCACCCCCCACTCTCTAACCGCATCACATTTGCTTGGCCGTCCACTGGCTACTGGTTCCGCACCTCACCGGCGATTGCCAGTCAACTCCCGTTCTTTCTCTCCTTTCTCTCTGCAGCGCCCGGTGCTGTTCCTGTCCAAGGGCTCCGTTACTTTACCTCGTGTATTATGGTAGAGAATCTAGAATGTATGTCAAAACATGTGTGTAGACGTTTAATCTACTACTATAAAAAAATATTTAATTTGTTTCAAATTTTAACATATATTTTACCAAAATTTTATTACATAATATATGAAAAATTTATATTAGATACATATGTAAAATATATAGATAAATAAATGGTATATAACACATGTAATAATGATACTATTTCATAAATATATATTTCTCTAAAATTATCTATGTACTCCTAGTTCGCTTTTAGACACCATAAATTTTGGTTGACCACCTTAAAAGATTATAGACAAAAATGGTTTTTGTTCCAAACTGTTCATTTTTATTAGCACAAATTTTATGTTGTATAACCTTAATCTTTGTGATGGTGATTACTTTCCTTTTGGTCTATTGCTTGGAGTATAAGACTTCAGAAGAGACATGTGAAATATACAATGGAATTTTATTAACTTTAGTGAGTGTAATTGATATAAAATTGAGTTATTTTTTAAAAATAATAATTAATTAACAAAGCCTTTGATAGTCTAACCTGTCACAAGGTCAATTAGTTTTTATATTACAATATTGTAATCATATCTCATTAACAACTTTAAATGAAGATTTATTTATTTTTGTAAGAATATCTATATTATCTATTATAGGTTTTGAGGCTCTTTTGGAGGTATGTTCATTGTTCTATGAAGTTTTATTATTGTATTTGACAAATCTTTTGTTGTTGAGTTTTAACTTTTAAAGAGTCAAAAATTAAAAAATTATGAAAAATAATTACAATTTACAAAAAAATATGTTTTTTTAGGAAAATAATATATCTTATTATTATATAAAAAAATTAAGTAATTTTAAGAGAGTTCTCTAGTTGTCTTAGTGATAATTGATGGTATATTATAAATATGGCTTTATTATTTAATTTATATACTACATTTTTTCATTAATTTAAAGATAAAAAGTAAATAAAGTTGACATGATAACAACCTTTAATATGTTGGTTAGTATTCTCAAAAAACTTAGTACAAACTAAGATCTTTAATTAAAAAAATCATTAATAGAAAGTCTAGAATATTAATAATTACTATAAGAAAATAATAGATTTAATATAAGATATAAAATATATTAATTTGATTTAACTATCTACCATCACACAAATAAAGTCACACGAATTAAAGATTTAAAGATTACAAAGTGTTCCTAAAGCTCGTGGCTACAAGGCTTTACAACTATTTTGTAAGGTGTTATTGTTAGCTACCATAATTGTAAACAAAATTAAAGTCATTTTTGTCTTTCTAATATTTTAGTCTTGGTATAGGATGTTTTGATTTCTTTTATTGGCAATAGATAGTTTATTTCTTTTTGATATTATATATATATATATATATATATATATATATATAATTAAATGATACATAAGTATATTATTATTTTTATATTTTTCCCAGATTACTTTACTTTTTCCAGATTCATGTCATTCATAGTAGTTTTAATGATATTACTTTATTTTTTAAAAATATAATGTTTAAAATATCTTAAAAATTCAAAAATTATAAATTTTCATATTATTAAAAAATTAGTAACTTTAAAAATTGAAAAATTTACAAAACTCAATAAAAAAATATATAATAATTTCAAAAATAAAAGATTTATATAGTATTTTATATTAATTTATATATATATAAATATATATATACATACAAAAACATATAGATATATATATATATATATATATATATATATATATATATATGGATAATAATAATTTTAAGAAAATAAAAATATTTATTATTTTCTAGTTTAAATATTTTTATTTAATCATGTTGGTCTTTTTGGGCTCTTTTTGTATGATTTATAATAAATAAATATCTTATATAAATTTTTATATGTAATTTCTTTATTCATAATTAAATATTTTTTTTTAATATTTAAACACCATATATAAATTCTACCATTACATCTTAATTGACAAATTTAAAACATTAATATTTGAATTTTAAAAAATAAATAAATATTAAGTTTTAAGATTTCATTTTATTTTTTAAGTACTTTGTAGAATTTAAAATTTTCTACAAGTAATTGTATTTTTATAAATAAAAAAATCATAAAATTTGAATCTAAGTAAGTTTTAGATGTATTTAATTTAATTATTGTATTATTTTATAGGTTTTTTATATATTTTTATTCTTTTAAAGAATAATTTTTAATATTGTATATAATTCTTGGTAATATTTATGAAAAATTTATAAATGAGAGTTGATAGATAGAAGAAGCATAAAAACAAATTGTGATTTTTAATTTTATCTTGTTTCTATAAAAAGTTATAAAGATATAAAATAATTAGTCTCATATTTTATTGGTATTTTAAAAATATTAAAAGACCTTTAAATTTTTATTTAGTAGAATTTATATTGTAATTTTAAAATTATTATTGAATGAGTTTTTTTTTTGGAGGCTATTATAAAGAATTAGAGAAATATTTGAAGACCAAGTGAGTTTTTTAAGAAAATTGGATATTTTCAAATCTTATACTAAAGTCTAATTTTTTAAAAAATATCATTTCTAGAATAAAATCAAAATTCTAAAAGTAAGGACAAATGCCTTACGGTCTATCTAAAACACTCTATACACTACATGTGAGCTTTGATGAAGTTTGATTCTTTATTCATATAATCAAGTTAATATTAAAATAAATCTTGGCTACTTAAACTTTTTATTTTTTACTTCTTTTTTACTTGATCTCCAATTTATATATATATATATATATATATATATATATATATAACTTCTTAGATAAGTTTTCCATATATGCACTACATGACCAACTTATATCATAAGTTGTCAACATGTGCAACATGTTGTCAACTTTTCAGTTAAGTTTTTAATTTAACAATTAATTACAAACATATTTAAAATCAAATAAGCATCTATAAGATTTTTAAAAAACTCTTTTATAAGATATTATCAAATCTACTTACATGTATCTTCTACCTAATATTTCTTATGTAAATAATTATATATGTCCATAACATTATCACTCATTTTAAAGATAACTTCTATGAGAAGTAGTGATCATATGTTGAAGAAATCTAAGATGCAATAAATTATATTTGCCACATACTTTGATCTTTGTTTACTTTGAAGGTAGTCGATAGGTCCTTTCAACCATCAATAGTATCCCATACCAAGATGAGAAAACTACTTTTTTATTTGATTATTATTAAAGCCTTTGTAACTTTGTTCAAATAAAAAAAAATTAAAACACTATCATGAGTAGTTTCTACCTTTATTAATACTACTAAATATTAGAAGTTTGTTCTAAAGTTGTGATATCAAACATATTATATTTCACCATTTATTTGAAAAAAAAACATGTTGTTATTAAGGATCTTTTTTTATTACATTGTCTTAAAAGTTATCACAATTTCTATGTATTTTTTGATAATTAAGCAAACAAATAGTTTTTGAATTGAATTTTTTGGTTTTTGATTCTCCGTATTTTTAGTGCCACAAATATATAAAAATTACAAATAAAGATAGAATATAATTTTTATCATTTTTTTTTTCTTTTGTAACAAAAAATTACTTAATTTTTTATTTAGGTTTTGATTGATGTTGTTACTAAAAAAGTATCAACTTTATTTGTTGCATTTAAAAGAGCCTTGTTTAAGTTTTGTATATATTTACTAATATCATATTCATACACAAATAAACTTGAAACTAGAATATCCATAATAAAATCCATAGAAATAAAAGACCATAATTGTTTTGGAATAGATAAAGACTAAAGAAGTCCATAAGGTCAATAGTGAGGAGTTTTGGATTTTGAATAAATATCAAATGATTGTATAAAGTCTTTGACTACCTTCTATATTTAAAGTCACTAAATATCTCTTAATATTAGTTCCAATGTCTTGTTGTATCCAAAATATTTGGCTGTTAAAAAGACATGACAAGTTTGAAGAACATGTAATTGTACTCTATCTTCTAGAATGTATAATCATCTCTTGAAATAAAGTAGGTTATTCTTGAACTCAAACTTGGAAGTATCATAAAACTTAGAAAAGTTATTTTTGATATCATGGATAAAAGGATGAAAGGACATACTTGATTGAATTTTCTTGATAAACTTTGAATCAATAATTAGTGTTGATTTTATTGCTTGAAGGTGAAAATGTTCTAGCTTTAAGAGAATCATTCTTTATTGATTAAAAGATGTATCTCTTTTTTTTTGGTACAACATAAGAACATTTAGAAAGGACGTCTAATAAACCTGTTATTTTTTGGATTGATAAGTGAACTTGAAATCAAATCTTAATAAAGACATGCTCCAACAAGCTTCGAGATAATTTAAAATACGTACTTACATAAAATACTTGAAGTTCTTATGATCTGTATATATGGTGACTAGACTCGTGGTGCCTTCTAAATAATGACACCATTCTTGAAATGAATCTACAATTGCAAGGAGCTCTTTGTCATAGATTTCATAATTTATCTCAATTGTTGAAATTTTTTTGGAATAGAAAGCT